AATTTGGTTGTTCTAAATTTCGGGTCGTATATCGCATCTGGATATCCGTGAGCTTCACAGGTCCACTCAACTTTACTGTGAATTAATCGGGGTGGTTGAAAGTAATTTTAAACCTGGACTTTCCGCTGGCCCACTTTTCCTGGCATTCCCGCTTCTCCATGTATTCTTTGTTGCCCAGATCGGTCCTGGATTTCCTGACAATCCTCTCGGGCCTGGCTCCCGGTCTTTACCAGGTTTTCCATCCCAAGTAAGCCTGGTGGACCGGGATAGCCTGGAGGACTGTTGGGGCTAATTGGTCAGTTTTCGGAAAAGGAGCGACTTTTCTATTATCTTTCTACCTTCCAAATATAGCATTAAAAAATTTTAATAGGATTTAAACATATAATTTTTTTATTTTTTAGACAAGCAGGAATTGAAGCAGCTTATTTGGGAGGAAATTCAAATATACCTCGTGATGTTATTTTCGACCAAATTAGAATGAATAAATTGAAAATTTTGTATATTACACCAGAAATGTATGAATGTTCGCCAAGCTATGTTGATCGAATTGCTCAATGTATGGGGGTTTTTAAGATTTTTAGGGAGATTTGAGGGTTTTGATGATTTTTTGACAACTTTTTCTCTTAAAATTTTTTATTTTTTGCAGTTGTTGGCCTCTTGGCTGTAGACGAAGCTCACTGTATCTCTGCTTGGGGACACGAATTTAGACCTGGCTATAGAACAATTGCAAATATGAGAAAATCTTTACCTAAAGTCCCAGTTATGGCCTTAACTGCTACAGCAACAGAACCCGTTAGAAATGATATTGTGGAAAATTTGAGGCTGGTATCGCCTAAAATTACTGTGACAGGTTTTGATAGGTTTGCTTTTAATTTTTTGGGAGGTTTTTAGTTTTTGTATTCTCAATTTTATTTTTATTTTTAAAGTCAATTTTTAACCCACAGCTTCACCGAATCCTTCCATTTGTCGGTTTGAACCCTAACCGAAAAATCAGTTTTCGAGTTGCCATTCGGTTTCGATTATCCAAAGAATTCGATTAAATCTATTATATTATTTTTATGTTAGAACATCTAACAAACTACTTCATTTATAAAGTTCGGGATCTAATGTAATTTCTTTTTTATATGTCACCTTCCCGTATTAATTTAAATATTATCTCATTTATTAAAATTTTAAAGTAGTGTTTATTTATTTTTTATTTTAGAAAAAATCTTTTCATTGAAGTCAAGAAACGAACACAATCGCTCACGTATTTTTACTTTTAAATTTATTTTGTAAAATTATTTTTGTCTATTTTTTAGTTTCCAAAGAGCCGTTCAAAACGATTTGGAATCCCTTTTAATTGAAGATCCCAAACTTGGGTTACATTTTGGTGGCTCTACTATAATTTATTGTCAAAGTAGAGATCATGTAAATCAAATAACAGAACAATTAAGAAGTTTGTTTTTTAATTAATTTTCTTGTATGGGTTTAAAAATTTAGTTTTTCATAATTTAAGCGTAAATTAAACGTTTATTTTAAGTTCCCTTTTTGGTTCCTTTTTGGAAATCCGTGTTAATTCTTCCTTCGCTATAATTAGTTTATTCCTTCCTTTTTTGGGGTTTTTTTTCATCATACCTCTTAACCTACCCATTTAATAAATAAAAAGCTAAAATCTATTTTGTGTGTTGTATGCTTGAGTGGGTAGTCGCTTATAGGGTTGAGGGCCCGGTCCGAAAGATCGAGGCGGGCATAGAATTTTGGCCCTAAAATGACTCGGTCGGGCTGGCCAATAAAAACGAGGCCCGAGAAAAATGGCTCGAACGTCGGCCCGACTCGAAAACCCCAACCCTAATTATTTATGTTGTGCGTTCGGGTATTTTCATTTTTCTACTATTAGGTAATATGTGTGTTATTTAAATTAAATTTTCTCTAAATTTCAATAAAAATTTTATTATTTTTTAGAAATAGGAGTTCGTGCAGTAGGTTATCATGCAGCAATGTCAAATAAACAAAGAGAAAAATCCCATAAAGAATTTTTAACAGAAAAGGCAACAACATGTGTTGCAACAATTGCTTTTGGAATGGGAATTGATAAAAGAGATGTTAGAAAAGTTATACATTATGGATGTAAGGCGGTTTTTTTTAAAGGGAATTTTAGAAAAAAATTAATTTTTTATAGCACCTGGAAATATTGAAAGTTATTATCAAGAAATTGGAAGAGCTGGACGTGATGGATTCCCTAGTAGATGCATAGTATTTTACTCTAATAGTGATATGCTTATACACAAGTTTGTTTAAAGTTTATTTTGTTTTTTAATTTGTGGACGAAACTTGCGGCGGATGGTCTTGCGGACGATGTCATCCTCCTCAACTTGAAATTTTTTTGAGACCTCAGTGACCATTAAGTAATCCGCTCTTTTCGATTTTTCAAACCCCAACTTGACACAAATTCGTATCCTGTGTATAGAATACTTCTTAAAAATCGTTTGAATGGGACAATATATGAATAGGATATTCTGAATTAAAAATTTGGCCAAAACTGGTTTTGGTTAACCAAAACCATGGGTCAGTCAAAAACCGACAACCGGGTAAATCAAAAGCCTGCCATAATTGAAAGCTATGGGTACCGGTTAATAATCGTTCTTCAACAAACCTAGTTTTAATAAAATGTTTTTTAATAATTTGCGGACAAAACTTGCGGACATGGTCTCAGTCCGCAATTTTTTAAGCCTTTTATTTTTTTTTGTTTTTTTTCAAGAAATCGAATAATCAACAAAAATAATAATAATATAAATATAACAACAAAATCCTCAAAAGATTATGAAATGCATCAATTGGATATGCTTCGTCGTATGGAACAATTTTTAACAACAACAAGTTGTCGGCGCTATTTAATTTTGTCCTATTTTGATAAAAATGTAAAACATCCAGAAATTCCAAAAAGTGATTGTTGTGATAATTGCACAAAATTGTTACAATCTGGAGTAGATAAAAGATATAATAAAGAAGAAATGATTTTTGATTTTGGAGAAGAAGCTAAAAAATTATTTAGAACAATTAATGAAGTTTTTGGTGGAAGGACTGGATTAAATAAACCGATTGATTTTATTAGAGGAAGTGTAAGTATTTTTTCGTTTTTATAAGAAAGAGGGGGGGGGTTCTTAGAAAATCTTCGGATATCTGGAACCAGGGATGTGCGTCATGGGGTTTTGGCGTCATTTTGGCCGATTTTGGCGTTTGCGTGACACATCCCTGTCTGGAACCGAACCTGGAAAATCCTCAGTGGTTCTGTTCCGAATATTGTGGAAAATAAAGACTGGACTATGAGTCTTTATCGTAAGAGATACTATGTATCTCAAAAATATCTAAAAAATATCGTTTTCTTTAACCGAGATTTTTGTTAGAGATCTCATCTCTCGGTTCGGCCTTTGGTGAAAAATTATTGGAGTTTTAATCGAAAAATTTCAATCCTTAAATTTTTGCGTATACTTTTTGCGGACAAATATTTTTAAATTAATTTCAAAAATAAATTTTATTTTTTTAGAAAACAGTTTTATCAAAAGCACCAAAAACATTTACTAAAGGAGAAGATTTATCAAAACATCCACTTTATGGTTGTGGAAAATCCCGTTCAGAAATGTGGTGGAAAGAATTGGGAAAATTATTAAGAAATTATGGTTATTTAATTGATTCTAAATCAACATTTAATCAATTTGGGTGTATTACAAATATTTCTGATAAAGCTGAAAAATGGTTAAGAGAAGGAGGAAAGGTTTGCAAAAAAAATTTTTTTGAATTAAAAAATTTTTTTTCAATTTTTTTTTGAAAGGAAATCGAATAATTTTTTCATCTCTTTCTTCTAATCTCCCCAAAAAACCAGGGTATAGTAACAAGAACATACCTATCAAGGGCGTATCCAGGGGGGCTGGGGGGCTAGAGCCCCCAGCCCCCCCCCCCCCCCGAAATGGATGAAGGGGGAAAAAATTAGGAGAAGGGTGGTCGAAAAAGTGAATTTTTTTGCCTACAACCCTCAAATTTTAAAAAATTTTCGCCTGCGGCGCAAAAAATGGAAGAAATCTGGCTTCTTGAGCTCCAAAATTCTAAAATTTTCGCCTGCGGCGCTAAAAAGTGAACTTTTTTGGCCTACGGCCCTCCAAATTCAAAAAATTTTCGCCTGCGGTGCTAAAAAAGTATATTTTTTTGCCTACGGCCTTCTAAAATTCAAAAACTTTTCGTCTGCGGCGCAGAAAAGATGAAAATTTATGTACAAAAAATTTGCGTCCGGAACGCCAAGGTAAACGCCAAAAAATTTTGCGCCCACCCAGTGTTAGCCCCCCCCCGAAACCGACCCCCTGGATACGCCCTTGATATCTATATATTTTTGGTAGACAAAAAATCGTAACCTTTTCATTTTCCTCCTTTGTGTTCACACTTGGTATGGGTAAGTTTTCGGTTCGGATTTTCAAAATTTTCATCGGATTTGGTTTTGGATTCCGGAACGGAAAAAATCCGAATATTTTGTTTTGGATAACCCACTCCCTCCCTGGTTCCCAGAGTTGCTTGTTGGATCGGACACCCTTTAGTCTCTCCCCCACCTTACAACTAGAGTTGCCAAAATGGACCGACTCGGACCGAAAGATCGAGTCGGGCCTAGATGTTTGGCCCGACAAAGACTCGTAACGGCCCGACTCGATAAAGTTAGGCCCGGAAAAAATGGCTCGACCGTCGGCCCGACTTGAAAACGGCAACCCCCACCTTACAACGATTGAAAAAAAATTTTAAAATTTGAATTAATATTTTAGGAATTAAAATTAATTCCTTCTGAATATTTATCTAACTCAAATAATGTCGAAAATTGTGGAAAAGATTTGACTAAAACAACACTTTCAATTCCAAACAAAGTTGTGGAAATTATTTCAGAAAAATTATTGGGTATAGAAAAAGAACGAGAATATAAAGATGCTAGTTGTTATCCTTGTATTGCTTCTGCTTCTGATAAAAATATTTTTGTTTATGAAATGGTAAGTTGGTTCTAATTATAAGAGAGTAGGGAGTAAAAATGTTTCAAAATGGTAAAAACGGGGAAATGTTTCAAAATGGTAAAAATCAAAAAATGTCTCAAAATGGTAAAACCTCAAAAAGTTTCAAAATGTCAAAACCTTGAAAATGGTTAAAATCGTCCTTTTTTCAAGTTGCCTCAACTTCGAAAAGAACTGGAAGATTTACGTTATCAATTGGCTCTTGAATCTGACTGTCCAGCCAACTCAGTTTACAGCAATACTGTTATTGAAGGACTTGTTAAAATTCGACCAACAAAGTATATTTTTAATTTATTTTTAAATTGAATTACTGACATTTTTTGCATACACGGGAACCTTTCGAACTTTCAGCAAAAATTTTTTTCATAAAAATCAAAGTTTTGGTTTAGTGGGAAATGAGGTTGTTTCCACTGTCAAAGGGTTGCAGGTTCGACCCCGCTCGTGGATAATGATTTTTATTTTGTTGTGAATAATGTAGAAAAATTTTAGAAAATATTTTTAGCGATAAATTGTTAATAAAAATTTTTTTCCAATGTCTGAAAATTTTTTTTAACATTTAAAAAAATTTTTTCTAGTGAGGCAACATTAGAGCTAGTTGAAGGCTTTCCTGAACAACGAAGAAAACAATTTTTAACTCCAATTACTCAACTTATTTCAAAGTTTTGTTCAGTGAATAATATTTCTACAGACTCTAAAGAGGCTGAAATTGAGGTTTTTTTAATTTAAAAAATTTTTTTTGAAATTTTTTATAAATTTGTAGTTTCCTGAAGATTTGGAATCCCTTAAAAATGGATTGACTTTAACGGAGAAAAGTTATTATCATGCTCATGTTCTTTATAATCGATCATTGGTTTGTTTAATTTTTTGATGGGTTTTGTTAAAATATTTTCAAAAAAATTTTTTTAACTTGAAGACAATTAGAGAGGGGATTCTCTTACATTTTTATTTTCGGTATTAATTAACTAACTTAAACTTGGAAGAGGGGTTTTCTGGAATTTTTCGAAATAAATTTTTGTTGAAAAATCTCTCTTGACCAGTGTGGAAACTAGTAACAAAATCTTTATTTGTAATGTGTCAGAATTTTAAAATTATTTTCTATGTCCGAGATGATCTGAAACTTGGAAAGGGGTCTATTTACGAGATACGAGGAAGAAAATAAGGCGTGTATAAAGGGCTAGTATGGACAAAGTTTTAAAATTTCTAATTTTAGGCTAATTATAAGTTCAGAGTTATTTTTGTCCCTTTCCAGGTTCCTGACATTTTTTGGGCGTGGAAAATTTTTTAAAAAACGTCGGCTTCATTTATATTTTTTAATTTAAATTTAGGAAGAAACTTCTTCATATATGAAAGCTACTTCAAGTACAGTTGCTAATCATCTTTCTACTGCAGCAAAACGTGGTTTACCTTTACATTTAAAAACGCTTGGAATAACTTTGGAATTAATTGAAATTGTTCATAATAAAATAAAGGAGAATGGAAGAGGTAAAAAAATTAAAAAATTTCTTTGGGATACCCCCCTTTTTTGAGTTTTTGTAAATTCTATAATTTTTAAGGGAGAATGTTTGTCTGGGGCTGTCTTGGAAATTTTTATACGAGCCACAATACATTAAATAAATTAGTTGGTTTATCCCATAGCTGTTCTGAAAGTTTGATTTTTGTGGGGGTTTTGTTTACGGTTTTGACTTTATGTGATCTTTTTAATATCAATTTTCTAGGAGTTTTTTTTGTTTCGGAACAAAAAAAAATTTTTTTGAGCTGTTCATAATTTAACAGTAAGGGCGTATCCGGGGAAAAGTGGCGACTTGGGTAAAAAAAATTTTTTTGAAGTTTTAGAAATTCTTTTCATTCGAAGGGAGGGGGGAGCTCTTATTACATTTTTTAATTTTTAAAATTTCTAAAAAAAATTTTTTTAAGACATAATTCGTCTAAAGCCTATAATGGAATTATTGCCTGAAAATCTTGTCGACTACAATCGTTTAAAAATAATATTTTCAATCTTGGAATATCAATATGGAATTGATACAAGTGAAAATGAAAATTTAAATTTGAATGAAGATTTAAAAAAAGGAGGGGAAGAAGAGGGTGAAGGAGTGAATGATGAAGAAAAAAAGGAGGAGGAGGAAGAAGATATAATTTCAATATCCTCATCCCCTAAAAAACGAAAATTACCTTTTTGGTTAAATTCGAAAAAAAGAAATGGGGGCAAAATTGATGAAGAAAATTATGTTTATAATACAGGGGCAACAACAACAACGAAAAGAAAAAATTTTAAACAAATTAAAATAAATAATTCAATATTTTCTTGAAAAGAGGGGAAATTTGTTTTGAATTTTTTGAGTAAAAAAAATTTTTTTTTGAAATTCTTATCACTTAAAAATAGGGTAGCACCCCGTGCTTTGGGGTCGGAAGTGTCCGGGATCGTGGTTTTGCCGGGGAAGGCATGTCGAGGTTGACTTTTGGTTCGGGGTCGGATGTCAGGGTTCTACCCTACTTAAAAACAATGTACGAGCTATTTTATTTATTTCAATTTCTTCTTTCATTCATAGGGTAGTTGGTTTGAATCTGTCCCGGACCGAGCATTCGAGAAAAATTCATTTTTTCAAAATTTTAATCCTTCGGTTCGGTTACGGATATCCGAAAATTTTTCTAAACCGACAACCCTAATCAATCATTTAAAAATTAACTGTAAAAAAGTTTTTTTTCGAATCTCTTGATTTTTTTTGATTTATTTTGGCAATATAAATTGACGAAAAAGACAATAAAAAAAATTTTTTTTTGTAAACATTATTATTTTTTTAATTTGTAAAATTTTTACGAAATTTCGAAAAGAAATTTATCTTTAAAATTTTAATTTTTTGAATTAAAAAAATTTTTTTAGAAAAATTTTGAAAAATGTCCCTAACTTCAACTTTATTAAAAAATTATTTTTCTCGCAATTTATTCAAAATTCAATCAAGACAATTAAATTTACAAGAATATCAAAGCAAAGAATTGCTACGTTCAAATGGCTGTGTTGTTCAAAATTTCTTTGTTTGTGAAAAAGAAGAGAAGGATTTGGATAAACTTTTTGATAAATATGGTTTGATTTTCTTAAAGGTTTTTTTAAAGATTTTAAAATTCGAAAGGAAAATATGACGAACGCGAAATTTCGTCTTAAATTTCGAAACACGAATTTTGCAATTAAAGACGAAATTTCGTTTTAAAATTTCGAATCCGAAATTTTGCGATTAAATTCGAAATTTTGGCTTAAATTTCGAAACTCGAAATTTCACAATCAAAGTCGAAATTTCGTATTTTCAAACTGAAAACTTTAAATTTTTAAACAATTTTAATTGTTAATTTTAGATTACAAGGAATATGTAGTTAAAGCTCAAATCCTCGCTGGAGGCCGTGGTAAAGGTCGCTTTATTAACAGTCAATTTAAACAAAGTGGTGTGTTTATTACTACAAGGTTTATTAAATTTAAAAAATAATTTGTAAAGGTTAAATTTTGTGGATTACAAAGTTTCAGTGTTTTTTAATTGAAAAAACTAGTTTCGATTTTGAGGGGTTCAGGGAAGGAGTTGAATCGGGTATAAGTGTCTGACTTTTTTTTATTTTTTTTGACTTCTCAATCAGGCCGTCCCAGGTTCGAATCAAGCTAATAATAAGCTAGAAAATCGTGAAAAAGTGTTTGAATCTTTTCATTACTAATGTGAAATCATTTAAAAAATTTGAATTAAATTTTTTTAGCCAAGAACAAGCAAAATTTTCAACACTTGATATGTTAGGAAGAAGATTGGTAACAAATCAAACTGGATCAGATGGTGTTTTAGTTAATCAAGTTTGTTTATTTTTTAATCAAAAATTAAAAATATTTTTGAAATTCGAAATGAAAATTTTTCGAAACTCGAAATTTCGTAAACACGAAATTTCGTAACTCGAAATTTTGTCATTCAAGTCGAAATTTTTTTCAAACTCTTATTTTTCAGGTTATGATAGCTGAATCAGTCCCTATTAAACGTGAAGCTTACCTTTCTATTCTTATGGATCCGTCTACTAGTGGACCGGTTAACTCTTCTTTATTTTAATTTTTAAGAAAAAATTTTCTTAGGTAGTTGTTGCCTGTCATATGGGAGGAGTGGATATTGAAAAAGTGGCAGAAAGAAATCCTGAATTAATATTAAAGGTAAATTTCAGGATTAGAAAACGATTTAAAAAAATTTATTTAGCTACCAATATGTATAAATAAGGGAATAACTAAAGAACAATGTGAACAAGTCGCAGAATGGTTATGCTTTGATAATGAAGCTGTTCCGTATGTAAGCTACATATTTTATTAAATTTATGAGAGGAGTCTAGGAAATAGTGTAGAAAAAGAGGAGAGCTTTTTAGACATTTTCCGGAAAACTTTCTGGAGGATTTTTACTGCAGAACGATTTTCTATAGCTACGTATTAATTAAATGTATGAGAGAGAAAACTTTAGGAAATAGTATAGTAAAAGAGGAGTTTTTCAGAATTTTTCGGAAAACATTTCCGGATGGTTTGTATTGCAAGAAGTTTGTCTATAGTCTTTTCCGGAATGGTTTTTATATTAAATATAGGAAGAGAAAGTTCAAGAAATAGTATGGAAAAAGAGGAGAGTCTATAAACATTCCGGAAAACTTTTTCCGGAACATCTTTATTACGAAAAACATTTTATTTGGCTACAGATTATTAAATATATGAGAGAGAAAATTTCATGTAGTATAGGAATAAAGAATTTATAACATTTCCGGAAAACCTTTCCGGAAGAATTCTATATAAGAAAACTGTCTATGCTCTTCTAAGGTTTTTCCTCTTCTTTTACTCTTTCACTATACAAAACATTTTATTCTTCATAACTTTCTTTCTCTCTCTTTATGTCCATCATTTTCTTAGTTTCTTTTCTCTCTTAAAACAGAACTATCTAATAAAACTTCTCTCATACCTATTTCTAACTTATTTTTCTTTTTTAAATTTATTTTTCATTTATATTTTGCTTTTCTCCTAAAAAATATCGCTTCTCGGCCTTTTGGCTAAGATCAAAGTGTAGTATCTGTTCTTTACGGCTTAATCTCCGTAACGATCCCTACCGGGATCAAAGAGATTAACCAATTTTTGGAAAAGGGTAAGAGTTGGAAGCTTGCTTCCTCTCTGCCGCGCGTCGGCCCGGTCTTGCACTTACCTCCGGGAACGGCGCATTCCTCCCTTATAGGGAGGATCAAAATCTGTCTTCTAAAAGTCCAAAAACTATGACCAACCAAGGAGGTCAACTCCCAAAAGGTCAGATTACCCTGGACCAAATATTTGAGCGGACGATTTTTGGATGTTAAGGGTGATATCGATGAATTTGGTCAGCTTAAGGTGGATTTGTTGGGATTAAGGTAGTTAAAGGACACCAAACAGAAGTTCTCTTATGGAACTGTCATATATGACAAAAGGGAGTATCACAAAGTATTCTTATCTTAAAGCTATCCCTACAAATATTTGGAGCTGACCTCCAAGTCCATTAGATCAATAGTCCATTAGACTTTCTTAGGTTGATCCCTTAAAAATAAATGAAAAATAATTGAATTAAATATAATTTTTAATTTTTTCTAGGCAGCAAAACAAATTCAGAAATTATACGAATTTTTTATTAAAGTGGATGCTACACAAATAGAAATTAATCCGTTTGCACAAATTGAGGATGGGAGAGGTTTTTATTTTTTTTGATTAATTTTAAAAATTTTTATTTTTTTTAAAGTTTATTGTATTGATGCCAAACTAATATTTGATGATAATGCCGCTTTTAGACAAAAAAATATTTTTGAATTGGATACAAATGAAGAAATGGTATTTTTTTTTGATTAATTAAAAGAAGTATT